AATTCTCAACTTTATATGGAGAAACAAAAGACCCAGGATAGCCAAAACAACCCTGTACAATAAAGGAACTTCTGGAGTCATCACCATCCCTGACTTCAAGCTCTATTACAGAGCTATAGTCCTGAAAACAGCTAGGTATTGGTACAAAAATAGACAGGTAGACCAATGGATAGAGTTGAAAACCCTGATATTAACCCACATACCTATGAACACATGATTTTTGATAAACAATCCAAATTTATATGATGGAACAAAGAGAACATCTTCAACCAATGGTGCTGGCATAACTGGTTGCGGAAATGTAGAAGACTGCAGTTAGACCCAAGCCTATCGCCTTGCACAAGACTTAAGTCAAAATGGATCAAAGACCTCAACATAAATCCAGCTACACTGAACCTATTAGAAGACAAAGTGGGAAATACCCTTGAATTAATTGTCCTTAAAATACTTATTACACTATAAGATATTATGAGTAGAATATCGAACTTTGATGAAATTTGTAAAGCAAGTCTGAATTCCAGGTATCTGAGCCTTCTCTTCCTCGAACATAAAATATATGCTTTACATTAAAAATGTAAGCCACAGGTGGATTAAAATAAACTTGGGAACAGAAAGAAGTATGATAATGAGAAGAAAACAATGCTCGAGAGCTTGCAAAGTACAATAGTTACAAGCATGGATGGGTAATAAACTGAACCAACATCTGGCAAGGTAGTCATCTGCTCTGCTAAGTCCCAGCACACAAAAACATGGGAAACCAATTAAACGAAGTAAACATAAGGAAGTATCATGCAAATATGCAATTGACTAATGGCATTGTTTAAAACCACAGCAGCCACAAGAAAAGAATAGCTTGTCACATTTTATTTGTGAAAGTGATTTTTTTTTGAAAAAAATATGTAAGAAGCAAATATTTCTTCTCTCCCACCTACTTTGCAGCAAGTACTTCCTAAATGTTGGAATTTATATAATGTGATCTTTCGGGTACTGCTTCTGACATTTCCTACTGTGTATCTATGTCTGTACCCAAATTGGGAGTGTCACTGAACAATTGTGAGTGTGTGTGTATATGTGTTTGTGAGTGTGTGTGTGTGTGTGTGTGTGTGTGTGTGTATCTGAGTGTGTGTGTGTATGTGTGTGTGAGTGTGTGAGTGTCTGTGTGTGTGTGTGAGTGTCTGTGTGTCTGTGTGTGAGAGTGTGTGTGTATCTGAGTGTGAGTGTGTGTATGTGTGTGTGAGTGTGTAAGTGTGTGTATGTGTGTGAGTGTGCATGTGAGTGTGTATCTGTGTGTGTGTGTATGTGAGTGTGTGTATGTGTGTGAGTGTGTGAGTGTGTGAGTGTGTGTCTCTTTGTGAGAGTGTGTATGTGTGTGTGAGTGTGCGTGTGTATGTGTGTGCACATGTGCGTGCACTCGAGCATGTACCTGCATGCCCACTCATAATGTGTATTGTGTTAGTGGAGTGAACTTGGAGTATCATTTTTCACAGTGTCTCTCACTGGCCTGAGGGTCACTAGTTGATTCATCTAGGCTTGGGGGACTGGGGTGGGGGTGCGGGGTTCAGGGTTCTTCCTACCTTTGCTTTCTCAGCACTGGGATAACAAGCCTACCACCACACCTGACTTTTTAAACATGAGTCTGGGAGCTCAAACTCAGGTTTTCATGCTCCCTCAGCAACTTCACCAACAACCATTTCCCTATCTTTCCTTCTGTTTTCTTCTTTTCTTTCTTTCCTTCTTCCTTTTTATAAAAAGGATCTGCCCCCCTTTTCCCTTCTTCTAACAAATGCAAAACATTTCTCAGTGTGTGTAGGAGGGAATATGGTCAACTGATTTCACTTGTATTTTGTCAAATTTGGGTCCCACAGCCATCAAAGATGCACCATTTCCTCTAAGACTTCTAAGGGGTTATTACCATGGGCCTGCTGTTCTGGTTTGTATTAGAGGAGACACTATCTTCTAAGTAAAACATGGAAGAGGAAGTGTCCAGAATTGTAAATAAGGCTTCCAGAGAAGCCTTGTTTTGGGACCATGATGGAGAAAAGCCATCTTGTCCAAGTCAGGATCCATCTTTGCTCCCTTTACCCAAATCTGACACAGACACTCCTGGATCATTTTCTGAGGTTTGTTTTAGTTCGTTTGCTTTACTCTCCAGAAAGAGATGTTTCTACATTGTTCACAAATAAATACCTCTCCAGTAAAAGTCTGCTTACGCAGTAGAAGACCATTAAGAATGAGCCAGAACCTCAGAATGCTCTCCATAGGTACACTGGAAAGTGAAAACAGTGAAGGCTTCAAACAGCCTTCATATGGAGTTTCCATTTATGAGAAGAAAATGCAATACAAACCGACCTGAATGTGCATAGAATTTGCATGCCTCCATCAAAGCAAGAGGGCCACACTGAGCATCTCCATGTTTTTCTAGCATAATTTCACCACATAGATTCACTATGTGCTGAAACCTTTTTTTCTGTGAACTTGGGGAAAAATCAAAAAACCAAACCAAACCAAACCACAACAAAAAACCGCTGGAGCGTGGCATGTGCTTCTAGCACCATTCTTCCAGCTAAAGTACATTCATGAAGAAGGGACAACGCTGTTTCTCCCCTCTTTAAAAAAGGAAAGCATCTTGCTACTTTAGTTGTGCACTAATGTACCTCAATGTTACACTAATGTAGTTTGGATTAGATATAGAAGCAATAATCTTTTCTTTTTACCCTGCTAAAGGACTGTCCTTTAACCTGTCATTACGAAAGCATTTGGTTATTGTCAGGGGTAAAAGATGTAAGGGATATTTGTTGTCATTTCCCAGGTGTGGAAGAAATGGAAAGAAAACTAGGGACGAAAGTGGTCATGAAGGAACCACAGTTCCTCCTTGGTCACCACTTGAAATCTACATAGACGGAGAATGTAGGAAGTCTGTTCACACAGGGACCATTTGTCCCTTTGCTCCTGCAGTGACACTCCGGTAGAGAAATGCCCCTTTCCCTTTCGCTGAAAAGTCTCTTGGTTGAAAGATCAGCTCTGAAAAAGGTCTGGCCAAAGTCACTCTAGGGGACCGTGGTCACGGAACCGGGTGGACCAAACTACTCTAGCAGTCATAGAAGGGTCAGTGCCCATCACTGTGCGGGGAGCCCTGGTCACCTCCAGCTCCCTGGATCTCTCGCTGTAGGCTTTTTGGACAGAACCAGGCAGGAGTCCCTAACCGAAATGTCTTCTAGAGCTAGGCAGGTAACTTCAGAATTGAAGTTGCTGGAGATGGAGGTGAAAACTGTAAGGGCATTGGCAACCTGGATAAGCGTCTAATTAAGGCATTTAGTCGGGAATTTTAAATTTATAGCTCAGCTGGCCAAAGCACTAAAAGCAAAACTCCCAAGTACTGGCCAACTCACTGCAAGTTGGTGCCCCAAATACATCCAGGTCTAGTGTTCATATGCTCCAACCTGCCGCGGGTTTCTTGGTCGCTTGGGACGCTCAGCTGCAACAGCGTTTTGAGTTCTGTACTTGGAGGCGCCTAATGAGGGCTTAATGGGCCTTTTGATTATGGTGATGCTTCCCAGGTTGTGGGGACAAAAGTTTCTCAGAACCCGTTGCTGGCTACATTTTACTTCCACCAGAAACCGAACTGCGTTCAGTTTTTCTCCCGGCTACGACTTGCCGGGCTAGTGGGGGAGTGGGCGTGGGAAACCGGGAAATCCAAACCCGGAATCCAGTGAGGGGCGTGGCCGGACGCCGGGAGTCCCCGCCCCTCCCAGAAATGGCCCCGCCCCCATACTCTAGAGTTTAGCCTGCGCTCGCGGTCTGCACTGAATCCTCAGGACCCCAAAAGAGTAGCAGTTGGCTGTGTTTCCTTAGATTGCACGGTGCGTTACCTGGCACGATAGAAAGCTCAGATTGCGACCCGCAGCCGGGATAACCTGGCTTGCCGGTGTCCGCAGATTCCGCTGCAGTTGCGGCCGGAGCCGGGGGGCCCTTGCCCCGCGCTCTCCCGGTCCTGCGCTGCAGGGTGCGTATCGCCTCTGTGACTTTTTTGCGGGCCAGGGACCGAGAAAGAGTCTGTGCCTAAGAACTGGGCTCTGTGCCCAGAGCGAGGTGCAGGATGGAGAGCAAGACGCTGCTAGCTGTCGCTCTGTGGCTCTGCGTGGAGACCCAGGCCGCCTCTGTGGGTAAGGAGCCCACTCTCTGAAAGTAAAACGACGAAGTAGGGTGCGGGCGGAGAGAGGGGATACAGGAGAAGAGGACCTAACTCGGAGAGAACTAGGGAACCTACCCTTTGGTGTTCTTTCATTATCTTCGGGGAAACAGCTTCAAAGACTAGTCCAAAACGACCCAGCCTGTCGATGGTCCCCAGAACTCTAATCTCCCCCGGGCTTCAGTTGGAGCCTGTTGTGCGGACCCAACACAGCCTCGGGCTCTGGGGAGGCGGGAGTGGGAAGGAGATGCCCCACAGGCAAGAACAGGCAATAAAACGCCTGGAAGCAAGCGCAAGCCGGGTGCCCTGCGTGGCATCCTGCACTCCGCGCTGCCTCCACCGAGTGGAGCAGGGAACCCGCCCTCTGCTCCGCTCCCCTTTAGCTCCAGCACTTGCGCACACCGTCTATGTGAGGTGAGATCTCTTCATAGGGCGACACTTTGCTCCTCCAACTTTCTTTGGTGCAGAATGCTACTTTCCTCGCAGGAAGAAGAGGCAGTCCCCCCTTCTGTGACAGTTACTCCGAGTGTCTTAAAGTAACTATCCACCTAATACCCCAAAACGTTTGGTCCTGGGGTAAACTCAGTCAGAAACAGAGTTTCAGAAATCTCTTGGGTTTGGCACTTTATAGAGCCACTTTTCATGACACTTAAAATTGCCCTCTGCTTCAAGGTTAGTCCTTCCCTTCCCTTCCCTTCCCTTCCCTTCCCTTCCCTTCCCTTCCC